AGCGCAGAATATCACTGCGACCACACGAGAAAGATAAATCCGACGAGCTGGGGGCGTGTTGCTGACTTCGCTGATAAACAGTGAATGTGTGATATCCATGAGAACGTAGGCGACTACTCGGGAGGCCTCTGATGAGACTGTCCACACATATCAAACACACCGCGAGTACTAACTGGACGTATTCAATTCAGAACCGCGCACTGCTGCGCCCAGCTCTCCGCTCCCGAAGAATACGTCTCAAGTTTCTACTTCCCGTCTCTAACATGTATGTAAGCCTAGTGTTTTTAAGCTTTTTTTGCACCTATGCAATGCAAAAACGCATACTGTCGAGGGGTTGTCTGCGTGCTCGTCTGTACCGGTTTTTTATCTCGAGACCTACAAAAGTAACAAGACCGAAACTTTGATAGATTAATCTACATGCATGGACGAGCCTTCATCTCCAAAATGGGAGAAAATGGGCGCTCATTCCCATATGGTTTCCATGTATTAGCTCGTCAAAGTTTTTGGTGGGTAAACTGTTAACTCGGGAATCTAAAAAGCTACAAAGCTGGAATTTTAAGGGGATATCCCCACTCGCGTACAATCAACTGACTTCAAAATCAACCCCCAGGTGTGCGTGGTTTTGTTCGTGAAAATTTTTTGGAGGTAGGCTGCCAACTCGGAAACTTGAAAAGCTAGAAAACTGGAATCCTATGGGGATATCCCCCGTCCAGATAGGAACTAATAAGTTTAAACCCAGCCCTCAGGTATACGTGGTTCCCACGTATGGGCCCACGAAAATTTTTGGTGAGTAAGTCGCTAATTCGGGAGCCTGAAAAGCTGGAAAGCTGGAATTTTAAGGGGGTGTTACCCGTTTAAGCAGGACTTAATGAGTTCAAGCCCAGCCCCTCGGTATGCGTGGTTCCTAAGAATCGGCGAATGGAAATTTTTGGCAAGTTGCTAACTCGAGAATCAGAAAAACTAGAAAGCTGAGATTTTAAGGGGGTGTTTTCTGATAGTCTTTGTGGCTAGTCTCAATTCTTTTAGCTAGAAGCTTTTGCCGAAAAAAACAGTATCGTTAGCTTCGCTCCGGCATTCGGTGCGCTAGCCGATTCTTTCTTACTGATACCGTGTACGTACAAAAGACGTTCCCGGTTATGAGCACGGCGCGCCACATGCAATCATCCCCTTTCCCATCGATCTACATCGAACATCATGTTTCCTCAAAGCTAGAACGACATCGAGCACAATGATAATCCGACCGAAGCCCAACTGCCTACAGGACCATGATGAAATACTTCGACTCCATCATAACCTCCCAAAAAACATTCATCGCTGTTTATAGGAAAGCTTGATCCTTGAGTTTTGAAGCAACTTTTATGACCGGACTTGATATAGCTTTAATGGAATAGCAAAATGAGAACATCCCATTTGTTCTTCTGCACTATCTCCGCCGTTACTGAAAGTGCTAAGACCCCGGGAGTCATTGATGGATGAGTTCGAGCTTCTTTAAAGTAACACGAGAACACGCAAAGGATGCTGAACATTAATTTTCCACAAGAAAATGACGGACTGCA